ATTTTATTTCAATCTGTCGATACATGTGTCTTTTTTATATCTAAATGTCATCTTCCCCTAAGTATTAAAATGCCTCCCAAAAGTAGCAAAAGTGCAACGGAAGCTGCAAAATCTGTAAATATTTTTTATTACTAGAAATAAAATAGTATTATTTATACTGTTAAACAAATATATTAATAAAAATGTATTAATTATATATTTAAATTTTCAGCCTGATACAAGACATTTCTCAGACGAGTTCTTACCAGAGCCAAAGTACAAAGTCATCAACATTCATATAGAAAATTATAAGAATATTGTAAGTATGTTCAAGAGATCTGAATTAATGTTTGATAACTGAGTGAAGCTTTCGACATTATATCTAATAAGTATTTACAATAAGGTCGTGACGCCAAATAAGGCCAGTGTCTTATTCTGCTAAAAAATTAGAAACAACGCAAAGAGCGAACGAATCATGCTTGGAATATCACTGAGAGATAAGATTAGAAACACCGAGATAAGACGTAGAACGAAGATTAGGGATATTGTGGAAGAAATTACAAAAATGAAATGGCGCTGGGCAGGTCACGTAGCCCGATATAGGTAATAACAACAGGTGGACACGGAGAATTCTAGAATGGAGACCAAGGACGACAACAAGAAGTATGGGAAGACCTCAAAAAAGATGGGTAGATGACATAAGAGCAGTGGCAGGCAAACAGTGGATTAGATTGGCGCAAGATAGAGAAAGATGGGAGCAATTTGGAGAGACCTACATTCAGGAGTGGATGGAAAATGGTTGACAAAGAGAGATAGAGAGAGAGAGAGAGAGAGAGAGATATCATTGTAAATCGCTTTTTGCAAATAGTAGCACGAAGTATACTAGACAGTGTTTACTACGGTGCCGAAGTTCGGTTATAAATTTTAGGTAAGTCATAAAATCACTATAAAGTTACTTGAATAATGTATACCAAATATTATTTCTTTGTAAAGCAATAGAAAATTAATACTCTGTTAGGAACTGGTACTGTTTTTTCGCTATATTGCTTATTATTATTTTTCTTTTATGTTAAATAGAAGAGTAGACAATGCCCTAATAAGGCCAATTGAATGACCTTATTAATAGTCGACTGGCTTTATTAAGAGCTGGTTGACATTGTAAACAGTTTGTTTACATAATCGTTTAAAATATTTTTTATTTGCAGATATATACACAAGACTTGTTCTGTGACAAAAATCTGAATATTGCGCTGAGACTGAGGTTTGTTGAATGTTACGTCTGGTCGCAATTATTGTACGGGGTAGAAACATGGACACTAAAAGCGCAAATAGTTAAAAGATTGAAGCCTTTGAACTTTGGATATACCGGAGAATGTTGAGAATCCCATGGACTGCCAGGGTCACCAATGAGGAAGTGCTGAGAAGAATGGGTCGAGTCAAAAAATTGTTGAGAACGATAAAAGTACGCAAGACTGCATACCTTGGACACATACTAAGAAATAATAAATATAGTCTTCTGCAGGTCATCATGCAGGGTAGAGTCGATGGCAAAAAGGGAATAGGTAGAAAGAGGAAGTCATGGCTGCGAAAGATTCGAGACTGGACAAACATGACTGTAGACGAATTATTCCACGTTGCAAAAGACAGAGAAGCTTTTAAAAATGTGGTCGCCAACCTCCGTTAATGCGGACGGCATAGGAAGAAGAAGAAGAAGATATATACACCAGGAAAAGAGCGCAGTGAACCGAAGAGGCCATTGAAGCTGCAATGAATGCCGTACGAAATGGCATGGCTGTTCATAAGGCAGCACTTACATTTAATATTCCTCGGCGTATGTTACGTAACCATCTACCTAGTGGTAATTCACAAAAACGACTTGGGAGGCTTCCAGTACTTACAAAACCTCAGGAATATGAATTGGTTACGCGTATATGAAGATTGTGTAACGTGGTTATGACATTAACCCTCAAAATATTACTAAAAAACGTGTATGCTTTTGTTAAAGAGACAGGAATTCTCATCCATTCTCCGTTGAAAAGGAGACAGCTGGAAAAAATGGATGAAATTGTTTTTTTTCTAAGCATCCTGATATTGCAAAGCGTCGGGCTCAAAAACTCAATTTGACCAGAGCCCAAAAATTGAATCGTATAGTTATTAGTGACTATTTCGGTAAACCTGCTCACATTTACAACATGGACGAAAAAGGATGGCAGCTTACGCTGCATCACCATCAAACTGTATTGGTTAGTAAAGGTGCTGAAAGGCTGCATATCTTTGCACCAGAGCAAGGCGAAAATATAACAATCGTGGCATGTGGCAACGGCATAGGCAACAGTATTCCGCCTCTTATCATTATGAAAGAGCAACGAGTTTAACCAGAATAGTATTGTAATCTTCCAGCAGAAACAAAAATTAGGATGACCAAGAAAGGAAGCATGACAGCAGATGCATTTATAGAGTGGTTAGATTATTTCTGCCGATTCAAAAATCCTGGACCAGCCCTTTTAATTTTTGATGGAGCTTCATCTCATTTAGACATTAGAATTGTAGAAGTTGCATCAAAAAAAGATGTAACTCTGTTTTGTCTACCGTCCAACACCATCCATGAGCTTCAACCACTCGATTAAGCAGTCTTCAGGAGTTTTTAATCTTACCGGGATGAGGAGATGTTAAATTTTGAGCGAACCATAATAACGAACGTATCATCAAGCGAGTAAGATTTAGGCGAATATTTACGCCGGTTTGGAAAAACGCAATGACGCAAAAAAATATTTGTTACGGATTTAAAGCAACTGGAATAGGGCCATTCATTCCAAATGCTATTCCGGATGCTGCCTTTGCACCTAGTTGTCTGACACAACGAGAGATTGAAACAATCGCCGAAGATTTTCGAGAAAATCCTACAATCGATCCAGAAATTGAAATAACTGGCAAAAAGAATACAAATTTTGAAGAATAGCTATTCTGCAGTGGTGTAAATAAAAATAATAAAATTAAAGCATTCTCGAGTAGTGAGAAAAGGAAAATTAACAAAAAAGAGGACTGACCAAAGTTTTTCAAACTTACATCTCAGATGAAGACAGTGACTCATCTGGGTCTTACACAAATGGTTCAGCTTCCAGCGAGGATTATAGTGATGTAGTTTATACGTCAAATAAGTATGATAAAAATAGAGTTGCAAAAATAAGTGAGAGAAAGTCATGTGGAGAACTAAATGCAAGTTTTAGTTCCAGTGTTTTGCTGATTACACCGAAGTTAAAAGTATCAACAAAACAACGTCAACAGGCGATTAATGCAAAAGGACAAGAAGTTACCAGAGATTTATTTAGTACACAATCTCAAAGCTCAGCAAAACCAAAACCCAATTTAAAAAAAGATTAATGGTACTGTTTCTTGTGTGATGAGGATATAGTGACTGATTACTTTAGAAGTAATCTAATCTAATCTAAAATCTAAAGTAATAGCCTTGTTAAAACCAGGAAAGGATCCAGAAGACCCCAGTAGCTACAGACCTATTTCGTTATTGTGTCACTTTTTTAAACTATACGAGAGACTCATACTCGCCAGAATAGAAAAAAATGTCGACAAGCACCTCATCCCACAACAAGGAGGATTCAGACCTTACAAATCTTGCACCGGTCAAGTCCTCACATTAACAGAACACATTGAAGAGAGCTGCTTTTGTAGATCTGACAGCAGCCTATGACACAGTAAGGCACAAAACATTGCTCCGAAAATTATACGACACTCTCAATGACCATCATCTGGGAAAGGTCGTATATTCCTTACTGCAAAACAGACGTTTTTTCGTTATACTGAAGGGTAAAGTAAGTAGGTGGAGAGTTAAAAAAAAACGGCCTCCCACAGGGAAGTGTTTTAGCACCAATGCTCTTCAATATATACACAAACTACCAACCTACTCCGACCAAAACCAAGCACTTCCTCTATGCTGACGATCTTGCAATATGTGCTCAAAGAAATAGTTTTGAAGAAGTGGAAAAGAAACTCGAAACTGCCTTAAAAACAATGACAGCGTACTACTTGCAGAATTCTCTGAGACCCAATCCCTCTAAAACCCAAGTCTGCGCTTTCCACCTTCGCACAAAAGGAAGCCAAGCGAAAACTCCAAATTGTGTGGAATGGTAATGCATTAGAACACACAAACCAACCTATATATCTTGGAGTAACTCTGGACCGGTCCCTCACCTACAGACAACATTGCATAAAAACAAGAGGGAAAGTAACAACTAGGAACAGCATACTCAGAAAGCTAACGGAAAGTAAATGGGGCGCACGTTCTGGCGTTTTAAGAACAACGGCACAAGCACTGTGTTTCTCAACTGCTGAATATGCGTGCCCCGTTTGGAGCAGATCTGCCCACACCAAACAAGTTGATACTGCGCTAAATGAGACGTGCAGGATACTAATGGGGTGCATGAAACCAACGCCACTTTCAAATCTATATAGAGCAGCGGATTTTGCAGAACCCTCAACACGCAGAGGCGCTGCAGAACACATAGAGAAAATTAATCAGATCGCGGACGATCGGCATGCCCTATACAAAGCTCGAACACCACGAAAGCGACTAAAATCTAGGAATAGCTTCCTTGGAACAGTGCAGGATGAACCGCCTGAGTATTTTCCACTTCCCCAGGTTCAATGGACCGGCCAGACCCAAGACTTTAAAACGTGGAAAACCTTGAATAGGATAATAACGGGGGTTGCTGCAGTAAAATCAAACATGGCAAAATGGGGAAAAATAGACCAAGATGATGTGAACTGTGACTGTGGAGAAACACAGAATATGGAACATTTTCTTACATGCAGAAACTGTCCTCATCGATGTACCCTTGAAGATTTGTGGCTTGCCAACAAAGATGGAACCGACGTAGCCCGATACTGGGCCGAAATTTTATGAATGACATGTCCGGACACGATAAAGTAAGTAAGTGACTGACATGCGCAAGTCTTTTTGTTGTAATAAGTAGGTATATCCCCGAGGAATATATAGAATTAACAAAAGACGAAAAGGATATATTTGTATGTCCCCGATGTGTGTATATGTGCGATATATGTACTTAATATATTGACAAATTTTTGTTTTTAATATGAATAAAAGTTTCTTTCACTAAATTTTGTATTCTTTAATTTTTAGGTTTAAAATTTATTAGGCCTATATGCCACATAGAACTTTTCCCCACATATTTTCGCTGAATAAAATATTACAGACATTTAAATCTTAACGTATCCCTAATTGGCGTCCTTACCTTAACTACAATAATCGTGAAGCCAAACGAGAACGATGAGATAGTTTAATAATTTACTAATAATACAAGGAAATAACTTGTCAGAATATGTCGCCAAAGAAGGCGAATCTTCAGTTCGAACGGCAGATTAGACTAACACTTAAAAGTGTGGAGTACAATAAATCATTGGCGCTAATATTCGAGAAATAAATCGTTGTATTTTTTCAGAAGCCTTTTTTTCCAGTAGCCGAAGTTCTTACAACAATAAACCATGACGATAAAGTTATCGGCAATACGACTTCACTGCCTGTACTAGATGATGATCTAATTCCCGTGAATCAGACATTTAGCTTAACAATTAATGTTAACAATCCAAAAGAATTGGATGCCCTTGTGTCCATACCTTTAATTTGTAAGTATGATTACTTTTTAATACTGCTAGCCAAATCAGTTAAAAATATTACAAATCTAACTTATGTATTCGTTTTTTTTTTCAAATACTTCTCACAAAGGTGTTCGAACTAATATCTTGGAACCAATGCTCGGAGTGATTTTTACACTACTAGCAAAATTATTTCAAAACATTTGTTTTATCCAATAACTGCATCTTAAAACGTCGACAAAAGTTGATGCTCAATATATTTTTTATTAGACTAGTACCGTTCTTTGAGCAGCACCGAAAGATAACAAAATCTCTATAGTTGACCATTTTCTTGTGGTGTTTAACACGTAGATTGTTATAAGTAGACTTCGGCAAATATGCATATTGCATATTTTGCATATTGTGCATATTTTATGCAAATATTTCATATTTTGGCATATTTGTATAAAAGTTTGCATAAAGTGCATAAAAGTTTAGATTTTTATACTGTATTTGAAAATTTTTAAACATACCAATTTATTTCAATTCTTGTATAAAATTTTGTAGTCATTTTAATCAAGAAATGATCTAAGTACGTAATCTCTACAGGTACAAAACATTTACAATTTCAAAGAAGATCAATTTAAGTAGCCCTCAACATTCTTAGAAAGTCTCGGTCACTGAGGCATTCAGTTATTGGATAATCGCTAAGGGTTCGCTCATTTGCATTTTATGATCTAATCCCCAAATCTATCTACAATTTATTGTATCTTAACAGCAGGTAAACGGCTAATAGTTTTGTTCCTAATTTAGGGATTTTCTAAAATCTCCCAGTTTATTGAATTAGGTGCCTAAACATTTCTTATTTGATGCTCAGATTTGTAAATCATATTTGTTTTGATATTCAAAGCGTAAACACTCGTTGTGCGTAACAAAAAGAAAGATTGTGATTTTATAATGCCTAAAACAACCAGTGCTTCAACTTGGATTAAACCTTATAAACAGCTGTCTATGGATATGGGAAAAATCTACTGTTCAGTCTGTGGCAAAATTGTAAGTATCTAATATTTTCTATTAAATATCTAATATTTCATACATACAGGGTGTTTCCAAATGACACTTACAACGTTTGACTGTAGATACTTCTCGAAAAATTGAACAAAACGAAATAGTTAATGAGGGGTCAAACTTATTTACTTTTCGAGATACAGGGTGTTAAAATTAAAAAAAATTAAATTCTTTTAGTTAATAACAACAATAACTTTAAAACCAATAAACGTATTTACTTGAAATTTAGTACTCGTAGGTTGTTTTTAAATGAAAAAGAGCTTCCTTTAGTGAGAAAAAATTGTCCATGGTACAATACAATGGTGTGTATTTAGAAAAATTTTTCACCTTTACTTTTTTTTATGAAGTCAGCTATTCTAAAACACAATTATTTTTATTGTAATTGAATTAACAAAAAAAAAAACTTTTGTTGAATTTTAAAATAAGTTATATGATGTACTAATGGTTAGTAACAAAAACTAATTTGTGGATTAATACTGCATTTAAAACACTTAGCGAGTGTTTTTTTTCCAAACCAGTTATTTGATTAACCAAAAACACCTTGTATATTTTTATACTTTAAAGGTTGGGTTAAAATAAAGGATTTTATTTTTATTTATAGATAGCATGTGAGAAGAAATTTCAGATAGACCAACATGTGAGAACTGCTTCACACATTGCAAAAAAAGGAAAAATAGGAGGAAAACATCAAACTTCAATGGCTTCAATGACTTCAAAAAAATTAGATGAGCAAGAAACTTTTAATGAAGACTTGTGTCGCGCATTAGTGTCTGCAAACATACCGCTTTCAAAATTAGCAAATGTAAATTTTAGTTCGTTTCTAAAAAAATATTGCAAACTTAATGTTCCAAGTGATCGGTCTCTAAGAAGAAATAATGTGAACGGGCTATACTCGTCGGTGTTAATTAATATTAAGGAAGAAATTGCAGATAATTATTTTTACATATCTGTAGACGAAACCACTGATTCCTCAGGAAAGTATATTGCTCATTTATTGATTGGTGTTCTTAAAGAAGATACCGTACCAAAATCTCATCTCATTTCATGCCAGCAACTTGAGAAAACAAATGCTTTAACAATTTCGCGTTTTATACAAGAAACATTAGCAACTTTTTTTCTTCCGACAACTATTCCTTCTAATAAATTACTGCTTATTTTATCGGATGCTGCTCCTTATATGGTGAAAGCAGGACAAAATTTAAAAATATTTTTCCCAGATTTAATACATGTTACTTGTGTAGCGCATGGATTAAACAGAGTTGCAGAGGAAATACGAAAAAAGTTTCCTCTTGTAAATACCATGATATCGAGTGTCAAAAAAGTATTTCTTAAATTTCCTATAAGAATTCAACTTTATAAAGAAATGCTACCTAACATTCCTCTTCCACCACAACCTATTTTAACGCGATGGGGAACATGGTTAGAAGCAGCTAATTTTTATGCAGATCATTTTGTTAAAATAAAGAACATAATTGATACGTTAACAGATGAAAGTTCCCAATCTCTTTTGGATTCTAAACAAACTTTTCAGAGTAACTTGCTTCAACAAGAACTTTCATTTATAAAATCAAATTTTAGTTTTGTCCAAAAAACAATTACTCAGTTAGAATCACCAAAACTGTCATTGTTCGAAAGTACAGCATTAATAAAAGAATTTGCGTCATGTTGTCGGAACGTTAGAGGTAATATTGGAAAAGATATTTTAAAAAAATTTGAAGCTACTATGGAAAAAAATAAAGGTTACCATATTCTTTCTAAAGTAGTCAGTGTTCTAGCTGGAAATATTTCGGAAACAATTAATTTAGAACCAAAATAAATGTTTTGGTTAGTTTGAAAAATGCTCCCGTTACACCAGTTGATGTTGAACGAAGTTTTTCCATATATAAATGTATGTACTCAGACAGAAGCCACAAGTTTTTGTTAGAAAATTTTGAACACCACTTGGTCATTTATTGTTACCATAATTCTAAATAAGTTTATTCATACTTGAAAATGATGTAGTTACTTAAAATAAATGTAAATCTTAATGAATAGTAGGAAATATTTAGTTATGTACACTTTTTTTTTAAATAAAATTGTTACTATTTTACGATTTTTTTATTTATTTGTATGCATATTTTGTAAAATATTTGCATATTTTCGGGTAAACACGTGCATATTTATGCGCATATTTTCTACATTTTTATTTGCATATTTGCCGAAGTCTAGTTATAAGGTGTCGCTGGATCAATAAGCGTTATTTGTCTCTTGTGATGTTTAGTACTGATACATATTTATAGACTACAAAGCAGCCTATGACACTGTAAATAGAAGAGAAATATTTAAAGCAGTAAAAGAGCTCGATATACGAAATCAGTATCGAATCAAATATCTATGCTTCCTACGCAAAATACCTACGCTTTTTTGGACAAGTAAATAAAAAAAAATGCTGTATTTGTGAATGAGCTGTAACACGAGAGATTTTTAATTGTATCTTGCAACACATTATAATAAATGGTTATCTCTTTACTAAAAACTAATTGTTTATGATTATATTATTATATCATAACATTTATTGATTTTTCGTATTGATTGTTATCATGTTTATTTTAGTTATTGTTTCCCAAGTTCAAGGCACTATCGACAGTAGCTTATATTCTGAAATACAATTAACTAAACCGTTGCAGAATGTACCCTTGACCAAATCATTTGATAGTGTTATTAGTATTTATGAAGCTTTCACTGGTCGAAAAACGGAGATCTCGGAAGAGGCGAGAAACAACAAAAACAAACGAAATAAAAGTTAGTGAAAATTAGGTTCTGAAACTGTTTTATTGTGGCATGTCTAATTACTCTTTCCAACGAAGATACTAAAAGTTGCTCGTCTGAAATTGTTCATTTAAAACAATGCTTTACTGCAACTGAACGATACAAATCGCTTCGTCTGAAAGTGTACTTAGTTAAATATTGTGTTTGTATGGGATTAAGTCACAACTTGGACTTTTCCATTTCCATTCCGGAAATCGTTCTCAAAAAAAAATTATTTAGAATTTTGTTGAAAAGAATTTATAACCGCCAAAGTTATTTCTAGGGTTATGTCATTTCACAAAATCGAAAAATTGGCACACTTGGCAGCGGTATATTGGCAACAGCCATGCCTTGGTTGAATGATATGGAGGTGGATTTTTTGCCCTTTTTTGGAACTTTTGATTATTCTAAATGTTCTGCATAATTTATATATTTTAGTTTTGTTGTCTACAATTCTATATTTAATAATACACCATTTATCTTCTTCCAAGCTTTATTCGTTAAATTAAATGTACAATGTTGAAATATTTCTTTACCAGTGTTCTACCACGTTCTACATTCTACTTAACCTATATCTGTCTAAAAAACTAAATCTTCTTCTTTTTATAATTAGTGTCTGTATAATATACCTACTCTCTAATAAAGATTTTAACGTAGAGTTGATATATTTTAACACCCCTCCTCGTTAAAATCCTCACAACAATATAAACGAAAACTTGAACTAATCCTAATAAATTAGAATGTTTCAAAAATGCACTCGTAGGTAGACCTTTTGTTAAAATGTCTGCCTGATTGTTACAGGATTCAATATAACACAAATCAAGAAATCCCTTTTGTAACTGCTCAACTATAAACTTAAATTTCAGATCTATATGTTTGACTCTTTTATTATATAAAGGATTTCTGATTAAAGCAATACAACCCTGATTATCTTCAAAAATTGTTAACTTCCTAACATTTAAATCAAAATCATTCAACAATTTTTTACACCATAATCCTTCACTCACTGCTGCACAAAGAGCAACTAATTCCGCCTCTGTTGTCGACAAAGAAACACAGTTTTGCTTTTTAGTCACCCACATAAAAGTACAATCGAAGATCTTGAATAAAAAACCTGTGACTGACTTTCTGTCATAACAATCTCTTGCCCAGTCAGCATCAACATAACAAAGAAAGTTTGTTTTAAAATTATCACAACGTTTAAATTTCAGAAATATATCTTTTGTACCATTCAAGTATCTGAGAACTCTTTTAATATAAGTCCAAGCTATGTCTGATGCCTTATTTTGATCAATCCGTAGATCATCCTCTACGATCTTGCGCTTCTATTTCCCATTGTTGTACCCCAATTCTAGGTAAATCGGCTTCAACATCATCCTTCCATCTTTTTCTCGGTCGGCCTACTGATCTTCTACCATTTGGTCTTTCAAAGAATTAAATTGAATTCAATATGCTATTGTTGTTATATTCTCATTGTTACTTCTGGTTTCAGTACTGACAATCAAAGTCTGTTACATTGTGTTGATGGGTTTGCTACACATGTTTCTTTATTAAGTAGGATGAGGGCTACTTCTTTAATTTTTCTCTTTTTCCTGTCTGTTTATTTCTTGATTATAGACGCATCTTTCCTGTCCCTGTTTTTGATATATGTTTTATGCTCGTTTATCCTCACACTTAGTGTTCTTTTCTTGGAGTTTCTCCCACATAGAAGTTGTTGCATTTACAAGGTATTTTATAAATACAATTCTTTGATCTCTCTTGTTTGTTGTTAGGTTTGTTTTTGGAGAGGATAGATCTAAGGATATTGGTTATTTTAAATGTTATTGTGATGTTGTTCTTATTACCTATATTTTTTTAAATTTTTCTAATAAACCCACAAATGGTATTGTTGCCACGCTTGGGTCCCTTTTTATGAGTGTTTTTGGATTGCTGAATATTATAAATATATTTCTTCAAGTTTTTCAATTTACTAAAACATCTTTTATATTAATCTAGGTGCTAAAGGATCTGAAAAGACCAAGGTGGAAAAAAGTTCTAAAAAGTCACAAAATGAGTCAAAAACTAGCTCTGAAAAATCATCGACTACTAAAAGCAAATCGTCATCGCAAGTTAAACTTGATAAGACTAAGTCTGGTGTAAGCTACGATCCCACGTCATTTGGAATCTGTTGCCTGGATTTGTTACCTTTATTTTATGGTAAGTACAAAGCAAAACAGTGCATTTACAGATGTACTAATGCATATCCAATATTGATATTAGTGGAATCAAGAAGATAAATATCTTTTTCTTCTTCTTCTTTATAACCAATACCTCTATGGAAAGTTGTTACTTCATCTTTTGCCCGATCGTCCAATACTTCTGCTGATTAGTGATTTATCTTTCGCTATTTTGACGACATGGGTCTCCCCAATTCTACTTATGTTTTTATTCCATTTTTTTTTCTATTTTCCATTCGTTTATATATTCTTCGTTTCATTTTCTTCTAATATCTTCACTTTTCTTTCGATCTCTCAGCATATTTCCCGTAATTCTTCCCAGTACTCGCATCTCTGCCATTTCCAGTAGCCTTTTTGTTGTGGCTCTGTCGGGTCTTGTTTTTAAGGCATATGTCATTACTGGTCTTATACCGGCTTTATAAATTCTTGGCTTTATCTCAGTTTTAATGTGTCTGCTTCACCATATAATTTTATTAAGGCATCCTGATATACTATTTGCTTTTTGAACTTGATCTCTCACTTCTTAGTCCAGGTCTCCATAGTTGGACAGTGTAATTATAAAGTATTCTATTTCCAAACGGAGAAATCATATGATTTCTACCTGGCGAAACCGAATTCAAATTTCTACCACTGTGCTTTTTAAAACTTGCAAATGAAACAGATTGATAAATTACTCGGCAAGGGAATCTAAAAATGCATTCCACCTGCCGTTCATCATGGTCCAAATTCGTAGTGAATTCAGTTTCTGGTACTCCAAACGGAGTAAAGAAAAAAACATAATGACGGTATAAGATTTTTGTTTTGATACAGGGTAGCGGCAAGACGCTTATACGTATTTCGACCTCTTTAGGCCTCCTCAGAGCAGTATAGCCATCACTTATAAATATATCCTAATATATAACAAGGAAATAACATTTAATTAGAAGAAGAAGAAGAAGACATTTTACCATAATAGATCAAAATCTACTAACCAAATACTATGTTACAAATCGAAATAAAGAAGAATTTCAGGGCACTACTTGAACAGATGAAGCAATATTTGATATCCAAAACCATAAAAGTGGAGAAGACTAAGAAAAAGTATAATCTGTTGATGACTAAATAACGAGATAGATACAATTAGTTTGTTGCTTCCAATCTAAAGAGAAACAAGATATAAATAATTTAATTTTTTTCAGGACCATCCAAATTTTCTCAAATGTTGTGGATAAAACCTACCGTACAATATAATGACAATAAAATGCTGTCTTTCAAAGCGCATCCAACAATTGCAGTGACGATTTCTATGGAGGAAGACTTGGATTTGCATGACTCTACGTTTTTAAACTTCACTTTGGAAACCATTTATAACATACCTGCTTTAATGAGCCCAGAAATGGACTTTTGGGCTTGCATAACGTTGCCTATGCTTAATGGGGTAAGTTTTTATTTTACCAATATTGTTAATCTGTGACGTTTCGTTGTAAGATACCCGATATCCATTGCATGGCGTAGGAAATTTAATTTTATGATCAGAATTCTTTAATCCAAAGGGTTTTTTGATAAATTTTGAATGAGGATTCCGTATTATTAGTTATGCATTCTTTGCATATTCATTTTATTTGATTAATTTTTTAAGCGAAAATCACCACTTCTTTTCACAAATCCAGCTACAGTTTCGACAACTCAGGAACCAATTTCCAAATTGTGGCCTGGAACCACTAGAGGATATAATGATGCTAACGCTACTGTGTATACGTAAGTAGAAAATACTTTCCAAATCATGAATGTGTTGCTTGTGTGAGTCCAATTCAAATAAGTAAAAGAAATAATAAATAAGACACTCACAATCAATTTAATTTAACTATCCAGACGACGGGTTTCGTTTTCTACAATATGCAAAGCATCTTCAGGTCTCGATACAAAGTTAAATACATTCTCCATTCAACAATACAGGATAGTTTGAACCATGTTCTTCCAACCATCAATTAATAGAGTACATCATTTATTTAACTTTGTATCGAGACCTGAAGATGCTTTGCATATTGTAGAAAGCGAAACCGGTCGGCTGGATAGTTAAATTAAATTGATTGTGAGTAAGTCTTATTTATTACTTCTTTTACCTATTAGAAAATACTATATTTCACTATAATATTTAAAAAAATTAAAATAGGTAATCAGAGAACCGTTTTTCGTTCCAAGTGGGTTCCGAGTGGGTAAGAAATCATTATAATTCATTACGTTACAGTCGAGCGTGGCCAGTACAGCATATTTTAATTTCTTTGTGTTTCAGCGTGCAAGGCATTTGCGCCGGCTTAAAAAAACGCAGCTCTCGACTGATGTATACGCACGAAAAAATACTGGGGTAGGAGTGACTCAATGATCTTCAGAGTCCACCAACCAAGGCAGTCACCACTGCTCACCTAGCCGCTGGTACACTTCCTCGTTCCGTCGTCTTCTCAGTTCTAATATGTACTGTACTATATTGATAGTGAAGATTAAATCAAGAATAGACCAACAATCAGGAGATAAGAGCGCGTATCGTAAAAGCTAGATCCACCTTCAACCGGATGGAAGCCTTCTTCAAGCACCAGAACCTCTCTTTTGGTATAAAAGTAAGATTTATGCTATGCTATGGATATAGATATGGATATATGCTATGAATACACATTATCTGGATTTGAATAATACATTGAACTTGATGCAAGAGTGTGGTTAGAAATGAGAGTAGTAATGACCTTCGTTATCAGCATTTGAATGGTAAGAAAATCAAGTACTTGAGGACAATGACAATATAACCAATGCCAATGACGTAGGAGACAGTGATGATGTAGAAATAAATTACCAAGGTGCTGCTTGTCTTTCACTTGTGGACGCAGACGACGCTTTGGAAACTACAATGAACTATTAAGAGTGCCAATCTGAGGATACACCGGCTCATGTTACATTTCTTAAACGACTTAACTGCATGGCTGCAAAGGAGCGGATGTCGACTTTTGTTCAAAAAACAATAATGACCAAAAACTTTTTCACTCGATGAGTTTTGATCTCGATTTTTGCAACTCTACTGCAAATTAGGTTAAAGCTATGATTACAGCAATAATTAAATTAATTAATAGTGTGTTTATTTAAAATATTTAATAAAAAAGATCTTTTCACAAATTCTAGAACTCCTGATAATCATAACGACTTGATAAGTCGTTTTGACACAAACTATGAATCGTACATCACCGAAGAGAGTCCAAGACTGCAGTTCGTAATGATCAAGAGACATTTAATGTTCAGGGATGCTATTACTGAACTTATTAATCATATTCAAGTATACAAAAAAGTAGTCTTGGAAATTTATGTGGCTCCTAAAGAAAAAACCGTAAGTAAAATTTTTTTACCAGGTTTTTTCGAAATTTGTGACTAATAGAACCTAATCGGGGGCTTTTTGGGATTATTCTTTTCCGTTATGATGCACTTAATTTCATTGTATTTGAATTTCCCCAATTTTCATTTAATACCCTATTTATGCCCATTAATATGCCCATTTACCCCTTTGGCACATATCCTAACGCCAAAAGCAGGTAGGTGTTCAGAAGTTGATACAAAAATGAGGGTACATTACCCTTAAATCTTTCTCTTTATATCGACAGAACGATGGAAATGCAAAACAGTACGAAACAATTTAGAAGTGCTGACTTATTAATTAGCCGGGGATCGAAAAAAAACCTATGAATAAAAGAAAAAACTTTCTTTATATCGTGTATAGGTAAAATGACAAAAAATTATTAAACTTACCATATACGTGGATTTTTAACTACGAAACTGTACTAAATAAACTATCAAATTGACATCAGCGGACATTGCGACAACAAACTAAGGAATAAGATCAAATTGTGAGTCCATTTCTCTTTATAAACGATTGCCAGACTAATATACTATATATGCCAGACTATATAGACAAGGATATCTATATTACCCTAATTAGTCTGGCAATAGTTTATAAAGAGAAATGGACTCACAATTTGATCTCATTCCTTAGTTTGTTGTCGCAATGTCCGCTGATGTCAATTTGATAGTTTATTCAGTACAGTTTCTTAGTTAAAAATCCATATAATATAGACATCTTTGGGAAAGTCAAAGAAGATAATGCAGAAACTCTAACTATTGACCAAAAATGGGGAAAAATTCAACATGCCCTTGTGTCAGTTGGAAAAGAAACCCTCAAACCACTTAAAGAAAAAACAAAACCTTAGATGACAGTAGAAATTCTTGAACTCATGGAAGAACGAAGAAAACATAAAGCAAAAGACCTGAATAAATACAAAGAAATTCAGAGAAACATCAGAAAGAAAATTCGAGTGGCAAAAGAGAGGTGGCTCTCCGACAGATGCAAGGAAATAGAAGATCTGGATAAAAAGTACGATAGCTTTAATTTACACAAAAAAAGCAAAGAAATGATAGGTTCTAGAAAGCGTACAAAAACGAATATCCTTAAAAATGATAAAGGGGGTATTATTACTGATATGAAGGAGTATCAAACTGCCGCAATCCCCAGACAATGGCTGCAATCAACCTTTGTAGCAATTCCCAAAAAACCAAGTTCAACAACTTGCTCAGACCACAGAACAATAGCTTTAATGAGTCACACACTTAAAACATTTTTGAAAATAATTCATAGCAGAATTGTTAAAACTCTTGAATATGAGATTAGTGACACACAATTTGGCTTTAGAAATAGTATGAGTACAAGAGATGCTTTGTTCGGCTTGAATGTGCTGGCTCAGAGATGCATGGACATGAATCAGGATATGTACTTATGTTTTGTAGACTTTGAAAAGGCATTTGATAAAGTTCAACATAAAAAGCTTGTAGATATATTAAAAAGCAAAAATATTGACAGTCGTGATCTGAAAATTATATCTAATTTATATTGAAATCAAACTGCCCAGGTAAGAGTTGACAGCCAGTGCACCGAAAATATCAAAATACAGAGAGGAGTCCGCCATAGTTGCGTGCTGTCCCCACTACTTTTCAATGTCTACAGTGAAGCGGTATTTCAAAAAGCGCTCTCAGACTCAATAGAAGGTATATCTATCAATGGAGAAGTTTTGAATAACTTACGTTTTGCAGACGATACAGTAATAATTACGGATAACGACAATGATTTACAGAACGTAATGCAACGCGTTAATGAACGCTGTCATGAGTACAGACTGAAGATATATTTGAAGAAAACTAAATGCATGATCATGACTAAATCTGCACATGCAAATATCCAATTGACTATTGAAGATACTGCAATTGAGATTGTTAATAACTATAAATACTTAGGAACATGGATAACATCAGATGTAGACCAAACCAAAAAAATTAAGACACGTATTGAGATAGCACGTAAATCATTTATTAAACTTAAAAAGTTTCTTTGTTGTCGGGATATAAGGTTAGAACTACGTCTGAGAATGCTTCGATGTTACGTGTTCTCTACTCTTCTTTATGGTTTGGGAGCTTGGACACTAAAACAAGTTCATCTGAATAAGTTGGCCGCCTTTGAATTTTGGTGTTACAGAAGAATCCTACGAATATCATGGACTCAAAGTCTGTCTCAAAGAATGTCAAACATGGAAGTAACTAGAAGGATAGGAAATGAGGCGGAAATAATATTAACTATTAAAAGACGAAAACTTAAGTACTTGGGACATGTGATGAGAGGGCAAAAATACGCATTATTACAACTTATTATGGAGGGCAAAATCCGAGGAAAGCGAAATGTGGGAAGACGAAGAATATCCTGGCTTAAGAACTTAAGGGAATGGTTTGAATGCAGTAGTGCAGAATTTTTTAGAGCGGCAGTCAACAAAGTCCGCATAGCCATGATAATTTCCAACCTTCGATAGAAGATGGAACTCAAAGAAAGAAAGACATCCTTGGGTGCTGCAATTAATTCTACAAGACAAAGTAGAAGGAAAACGAGAACTAGGAAGGCGAAGGATTTTCTGGCTGAAAAATCTACGTACGTGGTTCAATAAAACAACCACAAATCTTTTCAGAACAGCAGTTTACAAAATACAGATTGCCATGAGAGTTACCAACATCTGAAATGGATAGGCACTCCAAGATGAAGAATACGTTCTTACTGGGTGCTTAAAAAAGGAATGCGGCTGAGTTTAAATTACGGGTTGATTTCACACACTTTTAACATACTTATACCCAGACAAAACCAATTCGCAATCGGCAATATTAAGTTTTAAGCTTTAGAAAAATAGAACGCTACAACTGGACTAATTTAGCCGAGTTGACTGAACTGGACTGAAAATGCTGGCTTGTAAATGTAAACTCACCTAAAACACAAACCGATAATATTAAAAGTAAATTAAATCTTTCAAATTTAAGACTGTATTTTGTATCTAAAATGAAAATGATGTTCAATTTTAGAAAAAAGAATCTGCTAATCTGTTGAGCAAGTCACTTGAGTTTGTAAGGAAGATTCGAAAAGGCGGAGACTCTTTACATTTGATGGCTATATTAGATGTGGCTACTTTAACGTATCCTGGAGGTAAGCTTTATAAATATTTTGCTTATTTTTTAATATTTAGTAACCAGCAGATATAAAGCGACTTCTTCGTGAGCATAAATTAAAAAAAGGGGTACAGTAAGTAGTACTGAAGACTAGCGCACAGCTTCATACTATTTTTTCTGCATTTTTACATTCCATCATCTGTTTAAATTTTTATGATATTTCTCGTTTCAAAATAATTTTATATAAATACAATTATTATTTTTAAACAGATTATTTAGTTCATATAATAGTTAAATTTTATATGTAATAATTATATATTATAATTATATGTACAATTTTATTCAATTTTAAAAATACAAAAATCATGGTATGAAGCTTCACCCTAGTCTACAGTACCTCCTACTCCTTTAATTTCTTTATATACTCTCACTACTCTTTTGTATAACAGAAAGAACCATTAACTGACTATTAATATCATGTAATTGCGCAACAAGTGTTGGTAAATTAGAATAATTACAGAATGAAACAAAGCCAATACGGACAATCTTGAGGGAACATGAAGAACTTTTCAATCCAATAGAGTATGTCTAGCGATTTAATTCATTATTTAATAATCGTATTTTTTGGTATATCATATATATGGGTTTTAGTTCAACAAGTACGTCTGGCGGCTCCATTAACAACTTTTAGTCCTGAAGAAGCTGCCAAATATGGAGGACTAGATGATTCTTTTTTCTTCCCGTATTCAAAAAGAGATTCAAAAGAACCCAAAGACAAAGAACCTCGAGAGAATTTGCCTAAGAAAGACAACAAATCAGTTAAAAGCTCAAAGTCTTTGAAGGCTAAAGCAAAGGAAGGTCACCATATGAAAGATGTTAGTATTTTATTATTTCTTTTTTTATTCTTTCTTATTTTTCTCAATAAGTTTTTATTCTGTTCAGCAACCAATAGACATACCGACGACCAAGATGAAAGAGAACAAACGCAACTACAACATGAAGGAGTAAGGGACCCAGATGTAAATGAAGAAGTACCTACCAAGGAAGAAATTATAGAGATCATAAAAACAAACTTAAAAAACAACAAAGCACCTGGTGAAAATGGTATCATTGCTGAGTTTCTAAAAGAAGGTGGCGAAATGGTGCAAGAAGAAATCGCTGAGTTAATACGCGAAGTGTGGATCAAAGAAAAAGTACCCAATCAGTGGAAAAGAGGAATCTTATGTCCAGTGCATAAAAAAGGAGACGTTGCAGAATGTAAAAATTACAGGGAAATAGTTCTACAAGATACAGTGTATAAGATTCTGGCCATATTAATTAGAAATAAAATTAAAACAAAAGTTGAAAATTGTCTAGGCGAATATCAAGCAGGTTTCAGAGCAAACAGATCAGTAATAGACCAAATTTTTACAATGAAACAAATTTTAGCTAGTGTATTGATTTTAGACAGGCATATGACACTATAAAAAAAATTAAGTATATGAAGCACTGGAATATTTTGAATTTCCACCAAAAATAGTAAGACTGACTAAATGCAGACTAAATGATACTAAAAGTTAAGTCATGTTAGAAGGACGGGTTTCGGATAGCTTTATCACCAATAAAGGTCTGCGACAAGGTGACCCGTTATCAACAGATTTTTTCAATTTGATCTTAGAGAAGATTTTACGAGAATGTAACATCTACACTAGAGGCACAATATATCATCACAGCCATAAATGCGTAGCATATGCAGATGATGTTACCTTAATAACAAGGAGACCTGCAGAATTAAGAGAAATCTTTACTAGAATAGAGATAATAGCCAGGGAATATGGTTTAGAAATAAACGAAGAAAAAACAAAATATATGGTGATGAGGTGAAACGAAAATCATCTAGGACAGTCCTTTACGATACAAAGCCCAAGTAAAGAATATAACTTTGAAGTTGTTAGCTAATTCGATTACTTGGGAGTGACACTAACAAAAAGGAACGAAGAGAACCAAGAAATCATAAAAAGAATTTCCAAATGTAGTAAGAGTGCTGGGAGCCTGATTAAGATACTGAGGTCGAAGATTATATCCAGAACAGCAAAAAAACGAATATATACAACAGTTATCCGACCTACAGTACTCTATGCTAGCGAGACCTGGACAATGAATAAAGATATGGAAGTAAAATTAGATAGATGGGAACGAAAAATTCTTAGAAGGATATACGGAGGTGTAAAAGAGGGGAACATCTGGCGAAGAAGAACGAATGAAGAAATAATGCAAATATATGGGCAACCAAAAATAACAAGACACTAAAATTCAAAGATTAGGATGGCTCGGACATATAGCAAGAATGAAGGAAGGAAGAGTTCCCAGTGAGTTAATAAACACGGAGGCTGGTACAAAAATAAAAAGAAAATTCTTATATACCATAAGAATTTAACCAAAATCACGGTTCTTTCAGCTTCTTTTCATAGATTAGTTATTATTTAAAACATATTAAATAGCCTATATTCACAAAGCAACTAATTCTTTCCAGACCTGATGATTGTATTTTGAACTATATTTTACGGGGTGGGGTATATACTTACGTACAATATAAAAAAGTTGTAAAAGCACTTCCTTTTTGCTCTTGCAACTTGAAAAATATCAAAACGAATAATAAAACTGGAAAGGAAGCGAAGTACCATAAATATGTTTAAAATCTAGTTTTTATATTTTTTAGTTGCTTCCTCCAAAGCCTGCGCCAGCTGTAGAACCGGAACCCAGCATGCAAGTGTATAATGAAGCTGGGAAACCTTGTTTTGTAGTAGTTACTTTCGAGATGTCCAATCCATTAGTGCCAGCTAAAAAGGTTGAAGATGTTAAAGAGGAGTTAGTATATCATAGTATAGTTGCGGTAACATATAATGTAAAACGCTTAAATTCCTTCTTTCTTACAACCGGCCAATTGCCGTTTTAGTAAGATAAGCATTTAAGTTTGGAAGCGGTTCCTCAGTAGAGTGTAGAGTGTTGCTTGCTGTAATTTAACTATTTTGAATAGTTATGTGGCGTCCGTGGGAAAATGTGGTTAAAAATATTGCGTACAATAACAACGTATGTACCAGTAAAGTACCCTTAGAGCAGATTTAAATGCATTTAAATGCTGAAACACAGCAAGTATGTTTCACTGTGTACAAAAACCTAAAAAACAAATTCGGCTTCTATAAAAACTGATGGACAAGCAACTTCTGATTTAACAGAAATTTCACTTTCAACTATATACAAAATAGTTAAAATTAACCTTATCATCGCAAGAAGTGAGAACATAATATAGCTAAGTAAAAAATAAGTAATTTTAATTTCGAGAACAACCAGCCGCCGCACTATACCTTAAATCAGAACTATCAAAACTACAAATCTGAACGTTCTACTATATTTCTTACTACAACTATACCAAAATGTTTATTTATGTTTTTATTATCTGTTTGAGTAAAAATAATATTTTTTTGGTTAACACTCATATTGTTTGGTTTCTTGTAAGTTGTGCGCAATCTGCGCCACAAGTTGTTCTTTTATATATATGCCGGTTTAGAACGTCCTTCTCCATTGTCCGACACCTAACTTCCATCCTCTTCTATCGTGGCAATCTTCCGTTGATAGATTCCGTTCGCTCATTGACTTTTTTATGTTTTGCTGCCACTCTAGTTTGGTCTTCCTCGCTTTCTATTCCCTATTGAGGTCCAGTTCAGTATTTTTTTGGGCCATCTAGTATTTTGCATTCGCTCTACGTGTCCGTACCAGGTAAGTTGTTTCTTTTCGATATCCTGAATTATCGTACCTTCTATTCCCATTTGTTGTTTTATATGGTCATTCCTAATTCTTTCTCTTCATGAGACTCGCATAGATCTTCTTATTGCGTCCATTTCGACTGCCTCTACCTTCTTTTTTGTCTGTCTGGAATTCTCCATGTTTCCGCTCCATATAATAGTTTCTCTTAACCATTGTATCGTATATATTAAATTTTCTCCTTTTTGTTATCTCCTTGCTCCACAAGATGCCATTTAGACATCCTATTATCTTTTTAGCTGTAACTACTCGTTTTTTCTATCTCTTTCACATCTGTTCCGGTATTGTCGAATGTGATACCTAAATATTCATATTCTTGACATTGCAGAATTTCTTGACCGTTGTCCAACTCCAAATTTTCGCTCTGAAAGCCTACTACACATAGATATTGTGTTTTATTTACGTTAACTGTCAAACCCCATTCCTTATACTCTTCTATCAGCTTTCTAATCATATATTGCATGTCGTCTTTGTCATTGGCCACTATGACCTGATCATCTGCAAACTGAAGAGTAAACAGGTATCTGTCATCTATCTCTATACCCATTCCGTGTATTTTCCTTTTCCAGTTCTTAAGTGCCGCTGCTGCATATATTTTGAATAGTGTAGGAGAAATAGGACATCCCTGACGTAGTCCCTTATTCACTACGAAGGCATCTGTGAGTTTTTTATACCTATCTTAATTCTTGATTGTGAATTTTCATACAGGTGTTTAAGTGCAGCTATATAGTTGTGATTGATGTTCGTTTGTTCTAATACCTTCCACAGTCTCGATACTGGGACTGTATCATATGCTTTATGTAGGTCCACAAATGTAAGATGGGTTTCCAGATGTCTAGCAGATCTCTTCTCTATGACTTGTTTTAGACAAAATACGTTGTCGGTACACAATATACCTGCTCTAAAGCCGCTTTGATCTTCTTCTTCTTTCTCTTTATAGTCTTCTTCAATTGGATCTCGCAGTATTCTACTGTATAGTCTGCTCACTGTACTCGTGATTGATATGCCTCGATAGTTGTTACAGTCCAGTTTATTTCCTTTTTTATGGATGGATGATATATAAGCTGTTTTCCAGTCTTCTGGAACAGGATGTACATTTAGGCATTTATTGATAATTATTATTAGATTTCTAAAGAGTTTTTCCGTTCACCATCTTAACATTTCGGAGAAAATCCCTTCTGGTCTGCTAGCTTTCCCTAACTTAAGGTTCAAAACTGTCTTTTTTACTGTTTCTTCGGATACCTCTACTTCTTCTCCATTTACTACAAAATGTTTTGGAGATTCTATCATGTATTTCTGTCTAGATTCTTGTAGTAGACCTTTGAAGTGTTGTATCCACTGCTCCGGTTTGATTATCTGGATATTTGCTCTGTCCTTTGCTGGGTTTTTAAAATTTGATATAAATTTCCATACCTCCGAGCATTTCCTTCCTCCGATATAATTGTTAACTTCTTCACATTTCTTATCCCACGTCTCGTTCTTAGCTAAATTAATGCCGGCTCTTAATTGTCTTTTTGTTTGTTTATAATCTTCCAGATCTTGTTCATTTTGTGTTGACAACCATTTTAAATATTTTTGTTTCTTTTCCTGAACTAGTAACTCTATCTCCTTGTTCCACCAGTATTTTTTGTTGATCTCCTTTGCCTTTATTCCTACTGCTTCTCTGGTGGCATTTCTTAGATTTTCGATAACGTTCTCATAGATTTCATAAAAGGTGCATTCTTCCGCATTTGATAGTTTGCTGTCAAGACGCCTTTGATAAAGAAATACCGTGCTTTCATCGTTAAAACTTTGAAAATTATACTTTGTTGTACACATTTCGTCGGTGAGTACGGAATCGTTGTTATGTTCATCTTTGGCCTGATTTGTTCTTCTAAATTTTATTCTTGTTCTTTTAACTCCATTATATATGTGCTTCAGAATCATTTTTGAGTATTGACTAAAATTTGTAGTTTTTATCATTAGTGTTTTAAGGTATTGACTACTAATTTTCTAATTATTTTCTCGAAAGTAATGTTGCCAAACAGGAGCATCTCCTTGTGGTAGTCCTACTCACTCGCTTTTTTCCAGCAAATATATGCAGGATCATCTTCTTCAATTATAGTTCTCAAATATTTTTTAAATATTTACAATTCACGAAGAACCTTATTTGATGATTTCAGCATTATTGTTTCTTTATCCTCATATTTTTCATTCATTTATCTTTCGTAAAGCTCATAGAAATTTATTCTGTTGTTGATCCGTTTTGCATCAATTTAAATTTCAACATTCTTGTTTATTGTTTACGCATTTGACTTAAAATAATTTTCTCCTTTTCTTTCGTCTAAATATCTCACATTTTACTTTTTCGCAATCAAATACTAGCTATATGTTATAATCCTATTGGTCAATTCTTAATTTTTATTTGTAGTTTATCAATGTTAATTAAAGAGAAACCAAAAAATGCTAATCTACACCCCACATCTATGCTATCGAAGTGCATGTCATTTGATTATTACAATGAATTATTAAATGCAATGATATTGGATTTGAATGATAAATTTTTGACATTCTCCAACGAGAACCCTGTAGAATCTCTAAGTAGAAAGGGTAAGTAAAAAAATATAAAGTACTGTAAGACTATGTTAGTTTAATCCCAGTTAATCCAGGTTCATCCATAAGGAATCCAGTGTGTATTTCTGGGATAAGTTTTCCGTACAGGTTGTTTAATCTTATGCAAAAACCAAAATACCCTCAAAAAAACCATATACAAAAATAACATAAAACCTTGGATTAATGGGGAATTAATATATCTGATCAAGTATAAAAGAAAGTTGTGGAACAAATATAGACGTACAAATCGCATAGAGGATTTACAAATTCATCGAGACTTTGCCAGAGATTTAAAGAAATCTTTACATGAAGCTCGTGTTGCCTACGAAGAGAGTATAGCCATCAGTAATAACTGTAAAAAATTGCACAAGTATATTAGATCTTCGTTGACAACAAAAGTTTCTATACCTTTACTGGAAAATGATAATGGGGATATATCCCAAAATAACTATGAGAATGCCGAACTTCTCGCCAGTACTTTCTCCAAGGTTTTCTCTGTTGAACCCACTAATTATCAGTTCCCTAATATTACTTCGTCACGAGTTTCTTCTTCTCTTGAAAATATAATCATTACTCCTGAAAAAGTTAAACATCATCTTCAAAGCCTAAAAAATAATTCGTCTCCTGGTCTCGACTTAATATCTTCTTTATTTTTAAAGAAATGTTCTGATGCTTTAGCTTATCCACTATATGTGATTATGTCCCTATCATTCACCACACATATTTTGCCTCCTATATGGAAAACCGCATCTGTAACACCGATCTTTAAAAAAGGGAACAAACTGGATCCTAATAACTATCGTCCTATCAGCTTAACACCTATAATATCTAAGATAATGGAAACTATTATTGCCGAGACAATTTCTGATTTTCTGCAAAATGAACTGGTTATACCAGAACAGCAGCATGGTTTTGTCAAAGGACGTTCTACAATGACAAATCTTCTCTGGTGTGTCAATGAATGGTCAAGAGCATTAGACAGAAAAGCCCCGGTGGACATTATATACCTCGATTTTGCTAAAGCTTTCGATAGAGTTCCAAAACGAAGACTATTACATAAATTGGAACACCTTGGTATCCGTGGTCAACTACTGAAATGGATCGACGCGTATTTAACAGATAGAAAATTTTGTGTTAGAGTTGGGGACTCTTTCTCAGTTGAGAGAACGGTTTTAAGTGGGGTACCGCAAGGATCAGTTTTGGGCCCACTCTTATTCATAGCATACTCAAGTGATCTACAATTTCATATTAAATGCAACAATGCTTTCTATGCAGATGACACGAAGCTATTTTCCGATCCCTCCGTAAATTTCCAGTTACTACAAGATGACCTTGATTGCATATCGGAATGGTGCTCTACCTGGATGCTGCCTCTTAATGTGGAAAAATGTGTAGTTCTTCACATGGGTAAAAATAATCCGTGTCTTCCTTACTCTATTAATGGGCGCGTGTTAAAAACAGTGAAATCGCATAATGATCTAGGCGTTATAATTAATAACAATCTAAGTTGGTCGGAACACATTTTGCATATTTCTAAAAAAGCTAACAGTAAATTATATCTACTAAATAAAACGTTTGCGAAAATGTCATTTATGAGCTCAATTCATCTGTATAAACTGTACATTCGTCCAGTTCTGGAATATTGCGGAACTGTTTGGTGTCCAGTATTAGTGCGCGATCGTAATATTCTCGAAAACGTACAGCGGCAGTGCACCAGGATGTCTTTTGGTCGCTCAAGACCTACGTATACAGAAAGACTGAATATGGCCAATCTCACTACATTTGAACAACGTCGACTTCGAGGCGATTTAATTATTACGTTTCGGATAGTAAAATACAACTTTGGAAATTTGGGGAATATGTTCATAATAGACAATGACAATCGTCTTCGTGGCCACAAACTTAAGTTTAAAAAGGAAACTTTTTTAACAACAACCAGACAATTTTTTCTCTGTAATCGAGTGTTCTCGATATGGAATAGCCTTCCGGCTGAGATCATAGATGCTCCATCTGTCAATATTTTCAAAAATAAACTGGATGACCTTTTGTTCCATAGTTGAACATTTAATTTGTACTAAACACTTGCTATTACCTATGTTATTGTATATTCATTTAGTTAGTTAGTGCTTAATATGTAACTACTGTAATGTAACAATTTAATTGTACACTATATAACATTGTAGTCACATGGGCATATGGGTTTTGCAACCCCTGCTCAAATCTATTGGGTAAATAATAATAATAATAATAATAAAAATTCACGTTAGGACATACTCGTATAAAATAACCAGAAATTGATATTAAATGAACTTAAACTCTCAAGGAGACGAATATTTTACGAATACGAAGTGCGGTTCGATAAGTTTGTCAGCCTCACCGCCTGATGGCGCCACTATCTAAAGAAAAATCTACTATCGCGTTATACATTCTCGTAGATGACTAATGTCAAAATTTCAGCTGAATCGGACTCATAGTTTTGTTTTGACTGCGTGTGAAAGCGGGCATGTCGGCGGATTTCGTCTCTCGGTGATTCCATTCTTGTTTTTGGAAGGGGAATTGCGCTGCGAAATCAAAGGGCGCTTGGATGCTGTGTACTGTGTACGGTGACTCTTCTAATTAGATGGTTTTACGAGTTTCAATGTGAATGCACTTCAGTTTTTGATAAGCCACGCCTCGGTACCCCATAAAATGGTTACCACGAAGGATATCGTGACAAACATCTATGTATGGGAAGAGCGAGTGAAGGTGCATGGCGTGGTTGAGACAGTAGGCATCTCAAAAGACTGCATATATTATATCCTGTATGAAATTTTGGGTATGAGAAAGCTGTCGGCGCAATGGCTGTCGTGTTTGCTCAATCCGGACAACAAGCGCAACCGTGAGACCGCTTCAGATCAGTGTTCAACAGTCAAAATAGTGGACGGTACCCGGCGAACGTGATCCGAAGAATTCGAAGTCTGTCCTATCGGTCGGAAAGGTTATGGCCACCATTTTCTGGGATTCACAAGAGGTACTCTATATCAACCACCTGGCGAAGCCAAAACGGTCACAGGGGTCTTCTACGCCGAATTATTGGCAAGATTCGATGCCAAATTGCCGAAAAAACGACCCCATTTTCTAAAGAAAAAGTGCTCTTTCACTATGACAACGCACCAACTGATACCTCCATCATCGCCACAGAATTCGAACTCTTGCCCAATTCATCGTATTCTTCAGATTTGGCCCCATGTGACTTGTTTTTGTTTCCAAACTTGAAAAAGGCATTCGCCGGGCAGAAATTTAAGTCTAATGAGGAGGTCATTTCCGCCACAGAAGCCTTCTATTTGGACCTGGAAAAAACGTATTTTTCAGAGGGGTTATAGAAGTTGGAGAATTGCTGGGTCAAGTGTATCGAGCTAAACGAAGACTATGTTAAAAAATAAATCACTACTTTACCAAAATTGTGCAAAAAAGTGCTTATAGAACCGCCCTAGTATTTAGATACTTAAAGTAATGGAGCCAAAACCTAATTTGATTAATCAGTTTTTAAAAGTATTTAATATTTATCTGAGTCTTGCCAAACTTTGGTAATTTGGAAGAGTTATAAAAACGACCTAAAAAACTAGTAGGTGTTGTCCTTTGCAGCAGTCTATCTCATCTCTGTGATTGCGAATACTAAGTCCGTATGGATATACTATAGACCCACATTTGCCTCTTTCGATTTTTGCGTTAAAATTTTTTATGCTATTTTATGATATATTTTTACTAGTATGGCTTTAGATATCGTGAAATGGAATGTGTTTTTAAATTCAATATAAACGCTTTCACCTCTTGATTTTTCTAATCAGTAGTCATTGCCTAAATTTGTATTAAATATAGTTTCACATGGATTTTGGTAAATTTAAGCAATTTATTTCTTTCGTATATCGGAATAAAGCCCTTTACTAATTTTTTTCTACTTATAATATCGACTTAATCTGCATCAAGTGTCTTGTTTTTTGAATAATAGATTCTTCCTTTCCTTCTATTGAATTCTGCATTTGCAGTCGATATTTCTTAATTTTACAGTTTTGTACATGCTTTTTACACTGCATGTTGCAATTTTGATGTTTCTATGTATTTTTAACAAGGTTACATGTTTCTTCATCAAGGTGGTTAGACGACATCAAGCGTATCCAGCACAACTGGAGACCGGGTCCAATAGAATTATTTACAGGAGGCCTATATTCAGCAGTAAACTCAAAACGGCTAATGATGATGATGATGATGTATTTTTAATGGGCACGGATTACACTAATTTACCTGGAAATTGACTTGAATAGCCACGCAGTTTTTATTATTTTTTCCTCTGTACTCCTTCCAAACTGTAGAAATCTTTAAATACTTAGATAGGAACATTAGTAATAAAAGAAATATTCTTCTCAACATATACACATAATCATTCTTCTTCTACCGTTAGGTGTCGAGAGAGGTACGTCTAGCTTTTAATGAATTCCCTTCATTCTTTTCTGTTCTTCTCCATTTGTATTGCTTTTTGCCAAGATTTAGAAAAAAAACTGTGATAAAAAAAACGGATCATGAAGTTATGTAATCTTTTAAACTCTTGAAGAACGAAAGTTCTATGACTTGTTGAATTTAGGTATTGAAACAATTTAATATTTATCTAGACTAAAAACCTTTTCATCATACGCAACTTTTGACCCATTTTCAAAGTTTATTTCTTTGCTTTACGAAGTCCCTTCCTTGGGCTGTTTTTCTTGAGTATCTAACTTTTAGCTACGAATACATATTGCCGAACTATGTACTTTAGTTGAGTTTCAATCAGTTTTTAGTAACATATGAAATAAAGTAAATTGGATATAAATAGTATTATTTTTGGTAAATATTTTCAAAGTATTTTACAATTTTCTCAGATTGGTTTAATAATTTAAATATATGAAGACATTGGTTTTAGAATCTTCCCAGAAAATTGCCAGCAGATTTGTAGATTTTCTTAAACATGAAGGAATTTATGAGTCATATGTACACTCCATTACAAAGGCTACATCGTTGATGATAAGTAAAAATTTTCAACGCGTAGACGGAAAAGATATAAAAGAATATCAAAAGTTTATTGGTAATGTAAGTATATAATGTTATGTGAAATTCTCCTCAGGAAACTACTTTTAATTCTTTTGACCAGGTAACACACATCGGTCAAAGATTTTTCCTTTGAGGCATATGGGTAGATCCGATTTAAACACACACATGGCCTAGGAGGACAAATTCGTTAAACTTCCCGTGATCGAATCGGTATCACTAAAGTGTTATGATCATTTCGGCCTATCCCAGCCATCGTCAGGCTGATACAAATTCAAACACGGAAAGTAGAACGAATGTCTCCTAAAGCTTCACCACTACAGTGGTTTGCCAGCAGAGGCGCCACCTGCTTTGGCGGCCGTGAACGAAAACGATATAATCACATCGTTTTCTACCTCTGGGCTATGCGAAATGTGTAAAGAATAAATCTTTTAGCAAAAAGCTTCTATCGCTTTGTTGTATTAAATTGGCCAAATATATGGCCTAGGCCATATAGCCTAGCTTTTTGCATATGTCGAGGCATATCCACACTAGCCTACATTCTATTTTAGTATAAAAACCTTAAACAAATATAACTTTAAATTTGTTTTATTATATTATAAAGCAAGCAAAACGTGCTCATACTTTTTTTTTTTTAATTTTCAGGTATTTGTTTTTCTCATATCGAAAATGAACAAAACTGTAAATGAACTAATATGTCACGAAATGAAACCTGTGACAACTTATAAGAAAATTGATAACTTTTTCTTTTACGCAAAAGAAGCAATGGACACAAATAGAGAAGAAATAGCTGAAAAATATTTTCTTGAAGTGAGTAAAATGACATTAATGTGTGTAAAGTAGAAGTGTTAGCATAGAATGTTCGAGATATCCCCAGATTGTGACTTGTATTAATGAGAGAGTTTATTTCAGTATAAATATCAACTTTCGTTCATATCTTACAGTCCACGTGTTTCTTCAGTTGCAATATTTGAAGTTTTATACTTTGTTTATCTTCTCCCTATCTATCTATCTATCTATCTATCTATCTATCTATCTATAGCCCAAAATCTATTCATGTGTTGAATATAGGCCTTTCCCATTTATCTCCATTTGTTTCTGTCTTCTGTTTGTCTTTTCCACATTGGACCTACGCTTTGCTCAATGTCATCTTTCTATCTCATTTGCGGTCGTCCTCTTGACCTTTTTGCAGTATATGGTCTCCAGCGGCCAATTTCTTTATTCCATCTTCCATCTTGATATCTTTCGTTATGCACAGCCCATTTCCATTTTAATTTCAATGCATGTTGACAGCGTCTGTTGTTTCGGTTTTGCATCTTATCCACTCGTTCATCTTTTTATCTCTCAACGATATTCCCAACATTTGTCTTTCCATAGCTCTTTGAGTTTTCTTTATTCTATCTAATTTGCTCTTGGTACACGTCCACGTCTGAGCACCATATGTCAGAACAGGTAGGACGCATGCATTAAATACCTTCGTTCTTAATTTTAAAGGTATTTTTTGGTTTTTGATAGTATATGAGAGTTTTCCGAATGCACCCCATTCTTATTCTTCTGGTTATTTCTTTAGTCTGGTTACTTTTGTCTGCTCTGATAGCTTGTCCTAAGTAAATATATTCTTCGACGTGTTCTATGTTTGTTCCACCTATGGTAATTACTGATATGTCTTCTGTATTAGTCATTATTTTAGTTTTCTTTAGATTCATTTTTAGTCCATTCCCAAGAAATGTTTTTTCTAGGTCTGAAATCATTATTCGTAGTTGTTCCATAGTTGTTGCTATCAGGAGTACATCATCGGCGAATCTTAGATGATTTAAATATTTCCCGTTTATACAAATCCTTTTATTGTCCCAGTCTATAGATTTAAAAATGTCTTCCAACGCCAGAGTAAATAGTTTGGGTGAGATTGTATCCCCTTGTCTGACACCTCTACAAATTCTAATTAATGAAGTTTGCAAATCTCTGTCTAGCTGAATTCTCATAATGGCGTTTTGATATATATTGTGGATTAACATTCTGTACCGTGAATCTATTCGGCAATTAACTAGCGCTTCTTCCACTGCCCATAGTTTTATGCTGTCAAACGCTTTTTCATAGTCAACAAACGCTAGGTATATTGGAAAGTTGTATTCGTTGGTCTTTTCTATCAATATTTTAAGAATGTGAAGGTGGTCGGTTGTGCTGTACCCCTTTCTAAATCTTGCCTGCTCAACTGGTTGGTATGCATAAATTCGTTGTTTAGTCTAGTTGTGTTCACCTTAGTGAAAGTTTTATAGATTTGTGACAAGAGAGACATTGGTCCATAGTTAGCTAATTTTGATCTATTTCCTTTCTTATATATCAGAATTGTATTTGCCTTGTTCCACTCTTGCGGTATTTGTCCTTCAAACAAACATTTATTGAAAAGTATCTTTAGGTAGTCTTTTATCTTTTCCCCTCCTTCTTTTAACATTTTAATTAGAATTTCATCGTCTCCCAGAGCCTTATTTCTTTTCGTGTCTCTAATATCTATGAAATAGAAAGGTCAATCATCAAATTTAATATCATTAGGTACTAACAGTCCTTTTATTTCATTTTCCATTTGTATATAAACAACAATTTTTTTATTATTCATAGATGTCTATGTCCTTTGTTCTTGAGGAAGTCTCCTCAAGAACAGTGCAGTGTGCTGCTATTATTTTAGAACGAGTTTCTGTATATGGTTTTCTATTTCGTTATTTACTTAATGGGCCATTTTTTTAATAGTCAATTTTAGTATATTGTTTGCCACCCTTTTTTGTTTACAAATTTGTTTAATCCTTGGTTAATTAAAATTTAATATAATAAACAACTTGCTAACTACAAACAATACGTAATATCTCCTTTAAATATTACTGGCAGAAATGAGAGTACTGAGAAGAATTACAGGATATTCACTGAGAGATCGAAAGATAAGTGAAGACATTAAAAGAAAATGTAACGTACAGTGTATAAACGAATTATACATCAAAAATAGAATAAAATAATGGAATAACCTGTTGCGTTCTGCACATACGATGACCTCAATATAACAATTAGGGTCATCCTGAAGGGGGAGAGATATTCTGTTCAATCTAGAACTCGCTGGTTTCCCCCTTTCGAAATGGGTATGTATATTCAAATAAAAGAAGAGAAATGAAAGGCAGCGGACTGTATAAAACTCTATTTTAAAAAGCTGTAAAATTAAACATAAATATACATAACCAAATATACCATTATAATTAAAGAAGAATATATTACTTAAAGAAGAAGAATAATTACAAACTTAACTATTAGCTACTAAGAAACACCAACAGACACACCAAAAGACACACCAAAGACAACCATAAACCAACCAAAACAAAAATGTCGATTCTATAAAAAACCACTGACAAAACAAAAGACAAAACCTACCATAGCCGCAAACATACTATACATAAAAAGATAAAAGATAAATTAATAATCTTACAAAAAAATCAACCTAAATAAGGATATAATATTTTAACGTTGTAAAAACAAATTAAGAATGCGGTGCATACAAATAATTAATAAGTACAATTATTAATACAAACATACAAGAAATAAAATCGGTGTTAACAAAATACAAAAAAATATATACAATACAGTAAATAACCCGAAACAAATGCAAAATGTCCAATTGTCAATGTTCAATCTCGATCGCGGCACAAATGCGATGAAGTTCCAAATATCAAATAAATATACCAAGTGCAAGTACTTGATATATAACAAATTAATATGGTGTATTGTTTCTTCTTTCTCCTTTTTTTTATAAGAAAATGCATGTTCAATGTCGATTAATGCCTCTATTGGAGGTTGTCACTCCATCTTTTGCGTGGTCGCCCGATACTCTCTACCTTTTGGTGATTTGTCCCTCGCTATTCAGACTATCGGGTCCCTTCCATTCGTTTATGTGTTCGTTCCATCCTTTTTTCTGTTCAGTGTTCATTGTTTCTTACCCATGAAAAAGATAGCCCAACACTATCGCAAATTATGTCTTCAACGACACTTTCACTACCAAAATTGTGATAAAGATGTTCATCGTTTGAGAGATACTCTTCGATTCTGGTTTTGTATGGAACGCAAACCCTTAATTTTAGGTACACACACATGTGCTGATATTTTCGCAGATGGCCCGTCTTGCAATATTTAGCCCTTAAAAGGGACTGTGTCACTTTTCCGTGCTCCAAAATGTGACCCGAGTGACAACCTTCCATAAAGGTATTGATCCACCAATGAACAAGCAGAATTGCTTACAAGGAGGAATAAGGAATATTACCATCAATAGCGGATTAACAAACTCTGAGACATATCGTCTTCAATCTTACACAATAAATATGCAACACACAACACACAAACACGATATAAGAACGCTCACACACACACACACACACACACACACACACACACACACACACACACACACACACACACACACACACACACACAAATGTTTAAAGCACATGCAAATAATGCAGAAACACACCAGTCAGAGCTTTTAATTTTTGAAAAGACATAACTTCATCAATAACTTTACCGGTATACACCTCTTTTTAACAAACTTTTAAATAATCTTTTTGGAAGCGAAATCGAAACTCCATAAAATTTATATCGCAAATTATATTATACAACACTTTGCAGAGAATTTGCAACGATCCACAGAGTGCTGATTATTGGTTTGATTATGGAATATATCTTTTAGAAACAAAGGAAGATGACAAGTCTTACGAGTGCATGAAAGAATCCTTGTTGCAAAAACAAGAGCACAAATATAGGTATTGAATCCTTTAACTTATAAATATAAATTCATATAGGTATCTTACGTGTTTGTACATTTTTAATTTTTTATAATAGAATATTTGTTTATAGTTTAATAGTACTTGCTGCTCTACTGAGCAATAAAGGGCACAAAGAAGATGCGGAAACATGTTTCTTGAATATAGTGACAGAAAATTCTGAATGGTGTGAAGGTATTTCTTTTTAATATTATATCAATTGACAGAGAATATAAATAATGTTTGTCAATTTTTAAGGTTGGGCAATTTTTTACCTGTTTTACCAAAAAACCGAAAATTATGCTGGCATGGATAACACTTTGCGCATGGCAAAGAAGTACAGCGATGTTAGTGTACCTTTGGATTATTTCTCAGAATATGAAGATTTAGTTTGGACTGGTGAAATTTGTCCCAAAACTGTATTCTTTCGAACAGCTATGCTGTTGCTGAAATTACGATTGTATTCAGTACGTATCAATTTTCTTATTTAACAATTTTTGTTGAAATATTAACTGTATCTGTATCTTTGTTAATATTAACATTTTATTAAAGCAAATTGGCTTAAATCGTAATATTTTAAAGTGTAGAATCTGCAATTTCTTTTTGTACAATTACTTAAGGACCACCCTGTATAAATCAAAAATTGCAGAATTCATAACATAATACATATAAACAAAATGTACTTGTCTAAAGCTTTATCTTTTTATATTTGAAGCATACAGCATCTACATTATAAAAACAGGCCAACACTGCTAAACCGAATTTTTGTTTTCCAAAACCGAATGTTTCTATATTCTCTAATAAATGGGTAGACTCGTATAATATGCATATATTATGTAGTAATATATGCTTATAATTAGTAAATGTTTTTTATTTTTAGTGGACTGAGTTAGCTTTAGCTCAAGAAATAAATACCTACCCAGGATTTACTCATTACCTTCTGTCAGCACTCTGCTATTACAAAGGATTATATCGCCACGCTTTGGATCATCTTGAGGAAACCATGAAATATTATGGTCCGGTTAGTATCATCTTATTCCATTCGTCCTATAAGATTTTTTGTTTTATTCTAGCGAACTTAAATAATATTTATTATTTAAGTTCGCTATTTATTTATATTTATAAGTTTATTAATAAATAAACTTATTTATTAAAATTGTTGTCTTATTATTATTAGCTCAATTTGGTATAGTACAATATAGCACAAATTGTATAGCACAACTGCTATACAAACAAATATTGAGACCAGTATGGACGTATGGTTGCGAACATTGGGGCGGTGCCAAGTCAAGTAATATCCAGATTATCCAGAGCTTCCAGAAGATGACAGGTTATGTAAACATCGAGGCCATCCTGCTCCTTAATAATACTAGGTTAGAAAGTAGAATCAAACGAAGAAAACCATTTGAGTTAGTGTAAAGTGAACTGTTTACCGCAGTACTAGAATATATTATGCTGGAAAAAATTTAACTGGGAAGAGGAAGGCCTGACCATTGACGGTAGAAGATTAACAAATTTAAACTTTGCAGACGACATAGTTTTGTTCTCGAACAACCTCAAGGAGATATGAACTTCAGTTAGTGTGTGCCAGTGTGGGTCTTAAAATAAACATCTCCAAAACAAAATTCATGACAAACGAGAGTCGGTTTCGCGAGAGTCGTCCGACTCAAGCGCAAGGTACATTGCAATTTGCACGAGCTTCTAGTTTCACATGCACTTGGTATAAATATTTTACCATTTTAAAAATTTTCGTATTCACATTAAAAAGTTGATTTGATGAAAACAAGAAATTGAGTTTTTTAAGTTAAGATTTTTTTTATTTAGAAACACAATCCACATCAAACGCAGGGTTTTTAGTTAAGTAATGTACACAAATAATCTATTAAATAGATGTGTATATAAATCTTTTAAATAGTTTAGTACATGTTTGATGTTTGCAGTCAAAGTTTTGTAGTCAAGGTAGTTTTTATGTCATCTGAGATTCCATATTTTTTTCTTTGTAGTAGCTGGCAATCAATCACAATATGCTTCACTCATCAGTTTCTGTAGGTTTGCGAAGACTCTTTTTTGATTAAGAATTTAGAATAATAGTAACAGGTGCCATGGAAACAACATTAACTGCTGAAATGGAGTTGATCATTGGCATTACACCTCTAGATATACATGTCAAAGAGGTGGCGCTAAGATAGGGACAATTGAGAACTCATTTCTGGTGGGGAGAGCTGGATGCGCTATCACTGCTACAAGCCTGCTGTGATTCAATTGAATCAAAGTTGTCTTTAACAAACCCTACAAAATTGAAACAAGAGAGTATAGGGAGACATACGTGGCACATGCCTATTGCATATACACCGATGGCTCCAAAATGAAAGAAGGCTTATAATGCGGGATATACACCAGATCACTGAACCTAAGAATAAAGTGGGGTATGGGCAAAAATGCCAGCGTAGTTAAGACAGAACTGGCTGATATCTCCATGGCCGCAAAGAGATAACCAAAAAGGTATAGCAGAGAAAATAATAATGATCTGCACAGATAGCAGAAAATAACCTTGAATATACCACGTGTCACATCAGGGTCAGTGATGGAGTGTCACGAGTCACTAACCCAGGCTACGGATGGTAATACCATCATCCTGAGGTAGGTTAAAGGACACAATAGGAATAAAGGGACAGCAATTGGCTAGGAAGGCGGCAGCCCTAAGACTCTTAGGACCTGGAGATCTTTTTGGTTGATCAACTACACCAATTGCGGAAATTGTCAAATGTCACTCCCATACGCAAACCGTAAAAAGATAGGAAGAAGGACAAGGATGTAAACTAGCCAGGGTAACACTAAATAACCTTGAAGAGTCAGCATCAAAGAAGTACTTGGGAATGACCAGGAAAAACCTACGCTTGACAGTTGGTTTTTAACTGGTAATTGTCAACTAAGCGAACACCTCCACATACTGGTGCTAGCATACACACCTTTATGTAGGAAGTGTGAACGAAAAGACGAAACTATAGATCATGTCCTATATGATTGCCCGGAGTTATCGTTAATACGAGAGTACGCGTTCGGCAAGTTCTGGTCCACACCTGCCCACATAATAGAGAGAGTTCCCCTGGTGACTTGTCCACCTTCCTAGAAATGGCAGGATGGACAATGAGCTAAGGGTGACAGCTCCCTGGGAGGATGCACAATGGGTCAATTGTGGCCTAAGTGCTGTGAAACTGAACTCGCCCTCCCTACTCTACGATACAGAGATAGAATAATAGTAGTTTTAAGAAATGTATAATAAAACAATTTTGTTTCGTAGCAAATGTCACGGGAAAAACCGTTTACCTGGGAAATTTTGTAAAAAAATAATTATGACTGTCATTAGTTAGTAGTGTTAGTTTTTTTTATCGAAAACAAAAATGGGAAGTTAGCTAGAGGTATTAAGATTTAGACCATATTTAACACATATTTCAGTCACTATGTTTATAAATCGTTTTATCTCTTTTTCATTGGAAGAAATTAGTACCGTATCATCCGCGTATCTGAAATTGTTGACATTAGTAGCTTTGATTTTAAGGCCTACATCTTCATCTAAGGCTTCTTTGAAAATAAATTTGGAGTTGATATTAAAAGATATAGGCGATAAAATACACCCTTGCCTCACTTCACATCGTATTTCCACTGCTTCTGTTCGGTCAAAGGCTGTTTCAAAGTCGATAAAACATGTAAATTCTGTGCAGTATTAAGAACATTTTTAATACATGGCTCATCATACTCATAGTGTCATGATCACTACATTGTTTAGCGTTTATTTTTTTCGGTATCATTATAAATGTTGAGAGTAGCCAGTCTGTTCATATATGCCCTGTTTCGTATATTTGATTAAAGAGGTTTAAAAGAAAATGTTTGCCTTTAACGTCGCGTAGTTTGATTATTTTCGCTGGGAATTTCATCTGGACCGGGTTGCTTCCTTTTTTTTTTTATAATTGTATAGGTCTTTCTTTATTGTATTTAAGTTATTTATATGTTTTTATAACTTTTCTAGAATTATGCGGTCTCAAGCCTTGCAGGACATTGTTTTCTGGCTCTAGGACGAAAGGAAGAGGCTGAAAAACAGTATTATTATGCCCTAGAATCATTTAATAGACCAGTTTACTTACATTTAGTGACTGTTAATTTGGCGCAAGTATTAATAGATAAGGGCTCTGATCAGAAAGCTAGAAACTTGATGTTATTGGCTTGCAAATATAATCCGTCTCCTTATACATGGTATATAGCAGGAAAATTATATTATGAAGTAAGTATCATCAGTGATTTTAAATAACCTATTTATTAAATGTCGTTCTGATAGCTAAGTGGGTCAGTCGGACAAAACTCACTAACAAAAGCAAAAGATTTTATACCATGTATTACAAAACATTAATTAAATTCTTTATAAAAGAAAGTATATATTAAAAACGGGCTATATCAAACAACAAACGTTTTCGGAATCCATATTCCATCATCAGTGTCTAGGTGGCTCAAAACATGTACACCTAGACACTGATGATGAAATATGGATTCCGAAAACGTTTTGTTGTTGTTGGACATGAATCAGCCCTAATGGATCCACAAAAAATTAGATCGACTACATACTGTCCACAGAACGATATATCATTAAAGATGTAACAGTTCTTAACAGATTCACAACAGGTAGCGATCACAGGATGGTCAGAGCAAAAATTAGTATTGACGGTAACTATGAAATGAAGAGAAAAATAATTAGAAACTGTAAAAATATTAAAAGAACAACTAACTGATGATAAAGATATAGACGAAATAGACAACATACTTACAGCAAGGATGATAACATCAGAAAAAAATAGCAAAAAAGGATCTAAAAAACAACAACTATATAACAACAGAAACAAAGAAGCTTATGGATAAAAGAAGGAAGCTGAACGAAGAAGGCAAAAGAAAATCTATAGAATATGTAGAAATCAATAAAACAATAAGCAGAATGATAAAAGAAAATAAGAGAAAAGAACAAGAAATAAAAATAGAAGAAGTAATACAGAACAACAAAAATATGAAATGTTTAAGGCCGAAATTAGGTAAGTTTGAAATAAACAAAATAAAAGATGTAAATGTAGTAGTAACAAACGTTAAAGATGACATCATAAATATAATCCACCATTTCTACTCAGAATTATATAAAACAAAAAAGGAACCACCAGAAGAAATTAAAAACCAACTTAAGACTAAAATATGTCAACTCAGAGCTACAGCCAGAAATAAGCAAATCAGAAATAAAGAAGGCATTAAAAGAAATGAAAAAACATCGCCTGGAAAAGATGGAATAACTGCAGAAATGCTGAAATATGGTGGAAAAGTGGTAATTAATACTCTACATTCCATTTTTAACAAGTTATTAAAAGAAAAAAGAATCCCAAACAACTGGAAGGAATCAGTAACCATTATCCTACACAAGAAAGGGGATAAAGCAGATACAAAAAACTACCGTCCTATAACACTCCTCAATGTAATGTATATACTCCTAACAAAAATTTAAACCAATAGATTGAATACAAAATTCGACTGATACCAGTCGAAAGAACAAGCTGGTTTTAGAAAGGGATTCAGCACAAGTGACTATTTACTAAGTATGAAAATACTTATAGAACAAGCAAATGAATACCACATTTCTCTATATATGGCGTTCATAGATTTCTAAAATGCTTTCGACAGTGTCGAACATTGGGCAGTGAAAAGATCTTTGATTAACAGCAGAATTGACCACAGATATACGGAACTAATAGCCAATATATACATATATAAGGAAGCCAAAACAATAATTAAAGTATATGAAGGAACAAAATCAATACAAATAAATAGAGGCGTGAGACAGGGTGACACAATATCACCGAAACTTTTTAATCGGGCTCTGGAAGATACTTTTAAAAGATTAGAATGGGAAGAAAAACGTATTAAAATTTTTGAACCGTCTAAAGTACGCTGATGACGTCGTATTGATAACCGATAAGAAAGAAGAATTATTTGAAATGATGAAAGAACTGGACGTAGAAGCTGCAAATATGAATATGAATTACAGCAAGACCAAAACCATAACAAATACAGATGAAGATATCACAATGAGAATCGGACAAGATGAAAAAGAACAAGTTCAGGATTATATATATATATATATATATATATATATATATATATATATGTGTGGGTCAAACTATAAAACTTAACAAAGAAAACCAAACAGCAGAGATAAAAAGACGACTTAGACTGGCATGAGCGGCATTTGGCAAACTAAGCTACATTCTTGAAAACAAAAGATATCCACAGCATCTTAGGACCAAAGTATACAATCAATGCGTACTCCCTGTTCTTACTTATGGTTCCCAAACGTGGACATTTAGAAAAGCAAACATGGACAAGAGAGAAAACAAAAGTGAGGGATGTTAGACAAGAAGTTGCAAAATTGAAATGGAGATTTGCCGGACACAATATAAGACAAAAAGAAGACTGATGGAACAAAATAAGTTATAATAAGTTAGAGACAGTGGGAATATAAACGAAGCAGAGGAAGGCCCCAAATGAGATGGGCAGATGATATTAAGAAGCACGTGGGCTTTAGGTGTATGACTGTAGCGACAGATAGAGAAGAATGAAAAAGGATTGGAGAGGCCTATGACCAAAGATGGACCGAAGAAGGCTAATAAGATAGATAGGGTTTTTTAATACATACTTTTTATAAAGGATTTCAATTAATTTTTTTAGGTAAAAAACTAATTTACAAAAGGGATGTCAAGAAGAGATGGAAAAAGTACTTAGACAGTTTATTAAATAAACAATTTAACAGACAACCAGTTGAATTAACGGAGACCATTTTCAGCCCATGGTTAGGTCCCATTAAGGTTGCTTAACCACTAAAAATGTTACAGTTGTTATAGATAAGTTATAGTTAAGTACCTAAATCGGGGACCTGACAATAAGCAGGCAATTGTAGAGCCCAAAACCGGCCGTCTAAGGCATAATAAAATCAATTGTGGGTAACTCTTTTCTTTACTTTTCTTACCTATTTACACATGGACACACTTCGCATACTGCTTCAATAAACTGATGGTGAAGAGAACAAATACGAGAAGCCGCGTGAAAAAAATGGGACAAAAGGTAAATAGTATGGGACGAATAACCTTGGTGGAGCAGTGGTAAGAGCATAAGACTTGAGCGTAAAACTTTGGTGGTCATAAGTTCGAATCCGACCGACAGGAGAAATTATTATTGTTTAGGTCTCTTCTTTGTCCAATGGGTACTTACCCGAGGTACCGAAGTCGTTCAAATATAATAAGCGATGTTTTGTAAAGACAATGATGTTGAGGAACGAGACAATTACCCAACACATACACACAACAACGACAACGACAACGACAACGACAACGACAACGACAGTACTGCAACAATTGACTGCATCTAGACGGAGAGTAAAAAAGCAGGTTTGATTTCTTTTGAAATACGTACATAAATTTGTTCACTAGTCTTCTATACAGAATAGTATACATATTATAGCTCTTTACATAGTGTATTAACTTGTTTTTACAATAGTTATCAAATTTATCGATTTTTTATATATTTTTTATACTTTTGTTCTAAGCAAAAAGACTTTCTAAGTGCTGAAGAATGTTTTTCTGAAGCAAATGCTATGGACAATACCTACTCTGAAGTTTGGGGTTATTTGGCACTAGTTAATTTCAAGTTACAAAGACAACATGAGGCAGAACAATGTTTAAACCATGCAGTAAAGGTAATAAAATTTATTAGTTAGAAACCTGTAAATAAAAATGACAAGTGATTGAAAATTATCACATGTTATTAGGTGTTTAATTTTGTCGTTATATCGAATCCGTTATCACAGTTGCATTTTCCTCATCTGCTGGTAGGATAATTATGGAGTCATCATTATTTAAAGTTCTTACAGTTATTAATTCATGTTTGCTTATGTTTTGCTTGATTATATTAGACTTTTCTAATTCAATTTTCCATAATACTCTATATTCTTTTATTGAGATATTTTCTCCACTGAGGTAATTGAGTCTAATTTTGGAATAGATTCATGAGTATCAACAAAGTTTGGACCTGTTGACAGTATTAAATTCTTTGTTGCATATAAATGTCTATTTGATAGATTGACAACAATTGCAAATATGTCATCAGTTTTAATTAAATCTAAAGTAAAGTAAATTTATTTTATATATATTTATTTGTTTATCATATGAATTTTAGTATACTATCTATACCTATACTAAAAATAATTCGATCAAAAACAGAATCTGATATTATCTTGAAAAATAAATCTTCAATACTTATGTCTTGTTTTGTCTTGTTGTCGTAAGAAAAAATAAAGTCGTCACACAAGCGCAACTTAAAAATATTGACAATATCATTTTAAAGTCGTCTACTTTAAAATGTATAATATATGTCTAAATTGTCAATATGAATTCTTCTTCTTCTTTAAGTTCCACTCCTATCGGAGATTGGAAATCATTTTGGCAATTATAATTTTATTGGTTACTCGCCTGAATATTTCAATTGAACTGAATCCAAACCATTCACGGAGATTGCGTAGCCACGAGATTTTACGTCTTCCTACGCTTCTTCTACCTTTGATTTTACCCTGCATTATATTCCTTAGTGGTTCGTACTTTTCACCTCTCATTATGTGCCCCAAGTATGCCAATTTCCTGATTTTTATGGAATTTAAAACTTCGCATTGTTTTCCTAGTTGTTCGAGAACTTGTTCGTTTGTTTTGCGATCCATCCATGATATTTTCAAAATACGTCGGTAACACCACATTTCGAATGCTTCTAGGTTTTTAATGTTGGATTTTTTAAGTGTCCAAGCTTCAACTCCGTACAAAAGGGTAGAGAAAATATAACATCGAAGCATTCTTATCCGGAGCGATATATTGATATCGCGATAACAAAAAAGCTTTCTCATTCTATTAAAAGTTGACCGCGCAATTTCAATGCGGCATCTTATTTCTTTTTTCTGATCAGTATCTTCTGTGATCCATGCTCCATTTGTACGAAGATATTTGTTCAATTTCTGTATTATCTAGTACTAGCTTAACTTTGATGTTTTGTGCTTTTGTAAATACCATGAACTTGGTTTTCTTCAAATTGATTTTTAGTCCATAATCGTTGCAATATATATTTAGTTGTTCAGCAAGGTGTTGCAGTTCTTCTAGTGTTCCTGCCAGAAGGACGGTGTCGTCAGCATATCTTATGTTATTAAGTGGCTCACCGTTTATTATAAGGCCCTCACTGATCTCGGCAAGCGCTAATTCTGAGATGGCTTCACTGTATAAATTGAATAACAAGGGTGATAAAATACACCCTTGGCGGACCCCACGGCGAATCTGGATATCCTTGGTCAGTTCGTTTTCAACTTTCACTTTTGCTGTTTGATTCCAATAGAGTTTACAGATGATTCTAATGTCTCTACTGTCTATGTTTTTATTTAATAAAATTTCTTTAAGTCGATTATGCTGCACTCTGTCAAATGCCTTCTCAAAATCAATATGAATTAATCAGATAAAATATTTGTAGAATTTTTGTGTAACTTATATTTATCATAATCTATTTTTCAGAACAAACTTTCGGATGAAGATCTTCTCGAAGTAATTAAAGATGAATATTCTTTGCATAATCACATGTATTCTATTTAGTTCTGAAGTAAATTATATCTTTTTAATTCAATTCTTAATCAAAATTAGTATAAAATTAACTACAAAAAATATACAAAATATATTAAATTGTGACATAAAATGCTTCAAATTCAGCTAAGGATGAATAACTGTTGCCACAGTTTTTATTAGATTATACGGAATTTGTCTATAATAGACGTATGATGGAATGAGATGTATGGTGTCTTTTAGTTGGACACGGTCGAATGCCTACACTAGATCGATACACATATATTATTAGATTTAAGCCACAAATATTGGTGTAATAAACAAACTCCCATATACGTTAAAAATTATTGTATAAAAATAAAATACCTCAAATTTAGACTCAACCTCCTGAGACTTTTTGTCCAAGCTAATAAAACACATTACATGAATTCAAACCTTCCAGGCACAATTATCAACAAAATAATTAAAGATATGTGGCCTAATATGTCAATATATTTTTACTGGGGACTCCAAAATCCAAAATTAATTAGGTTGTGCAATATATCAATGGAATTCTGATTACAAAGAATCATGTCAATTGCCTTGTAAGCTTTAATATATACAGCCGAATGAGCTTTATTATTTACGTTAAAATATATAGCCTTTATTGGTATGGACAATTATATCATTTTCATCTATTGTCGAAGCATTGTGGACGAACTCACTTCTATCCAAACCAGAAAAAACCTAAACTATATTAAGTTGAAATTAAGAGTATACATTATGATATTAATTCTTCGGCCAGTTCAATTACTATTTGTTGGGTAAGAGGACACTCTGCAATATTGGGAAATGAAAAAGTCGACAAATTAAATGAATCTAAAGCTTTAGCCAAACATAAGATAAACAAACAACTAGATCCAGATCAAGAGATAAAATGTAGACCTAGATAGTCAATATATTTTTAACTGGGGCTCCAAAATCCAAAATTAATTAGGCTGTGCAATATATCAATGGAATTCTGATTACAAAGAATCATGTCGATTGCCTTGTGAAGCTTTAATATATACAGCCAATTATCAGCTTTATTACTACGTTAAAATATATAGCCTTTGGCTATAATATATATATATATAATATATATAGATATATATATAATATATATAGCCATATATATATATAATATATATATATATATAATATAATATATATGGACAATTATATTATTTTCACCTATTGTCGAAGCATTGTGGACAAACTCACTTCTATCCAACAGAAAAAACCTAAAACTATATTAAGTTGAAATTAAGAGTATACATTATGATATTAATTCTTCGGCAGTTCAATTACTATTTGTTGGGTAAGAGGACACTCTAGCAATATTGGGAAATGAAGAAGTCGACAAATTAAATGAATCTAAAGCTTTAGCCAAACATAAGATAAACAACCTACTTCTTCCTGTAACAGATAACAGTAAAAACAATTGCAAACAAAGTTAGCAACATTTACACAACCAAAGTACAACTGGAATAAAGTTAAGAAATTGCCAACCTCTAATTCCCAATGAGAGATGGTTTAAGTATGAGACAAATATGCTATTTACAAAAACAATAAAGAGAATAAGGGCCAATTGTTCGAACGCTAATCAAAACTTGATTGTAATCAAATATTTAATTAAAATCAAATACGTCAATTTTGGTATGTTGACTGATTTATTATTCATTTTATTATTTTGCGTTTTAATTTAAAATAAACCATATAATTAAACTCTTTCTGATGTTAATTTCATGTTTTTATTTGCAAATCAATAATAATAATAAGCAATTTTTAATAATTTTGACAGCCGCTGTGACGTATTTGATTGTAATTAAATATTTGATTACAATCAAGTTTTGATTAGCGTTCGAACAATCGGCCCTAAATGACGCACTCACCCCAGCATACAAACACAGCATAAGTATTACTGATAAACCATATTGGGCCTGTGGTAAAATGGGATATCTACAGCACCTCATATTGAAGGACAGTAGAGACAAAGTATCAAAATAATGTATGAAAAGGTAATTGATCTAAATTGTCCTTTTCTGTCAATTTAAATACAATTATGTTTCAAAAAAATGCAGGCGTTAATTAAAATTTATATTACAAATAGGCTTAGGTAATAATTGTAAATATGTCATACAAAAAAAAAGAATAATAAAAAAGAAAAAATAACAAAGTACATAGATAATGGAAAACAAAAAAAGAACTGTATCAAAAAAATTAAAACAATTTAATGTTAAATTTAAATTTAACATTAAATAAATGTTAAATGGTTTAAATGGTTAAGTTAAATTAAATGGTTAATTTTAAAATTTAACATTAGATAAATTAAATAAATAAAACAATAAAATTTAAATGTTAATTTAAACTTACATCGGTCAAACCGGTAGAAATTTTAATAAACGAATAGCAGAACATAAAAGGGCTTTCAATAATAGAAAAACAGATTCTACATACGCACTTCACCTTCTAGATCATAATCATTCTCATAATGACGAATTTAAAATTCTTCACATTCAAAATAAAGGCCTTAAGCTATCTTTGTTAGAATCTATATAAATCGACAAATTAAAAAACACAGACCATAGAAGTAATTTTCCATTTTTTTGGAAAAGGTTTTCAAGTGTTAGATTTTGCCTGTCACCAAGGTGAACGTTTCGTTTCTTGTTTTTCCGTATTAAACGTACGATTCCAGTGCCCTCGCTGCATTGTATTTCAGGTAAGCCTGTTCCTTTAAATTCTTAACATTATTTAAATATTTTTAATAAAGAAAAACAGTTTTTTAATATTTAAAAATAATCAATTTTTTATATGTATCCATGATATAAACCCTAAGAAATCAAAGGTCGTTAACCCAACTTCACTTACACAAATGCAACCAACAATAATCTCCTGCAGTGAAGAAAAAAAATACAAACTGATTTTTTTCAGAACAACCCATTTAAAAAAGCGATACCTCCCTCTTACTAAGCAAAAGCATTGACAATAAGCGCACGTGTACCTTCCCGCATGGAAGAGATAATTAGTGGTTTCAGCTACAATGCATTGCAATCAAAAATATCGCTGTGGAGGCACGCGATCACGGTTCTATTCATATCAAAGAAATGTCCTAATAATCGTAATAACTGTTTTTATATCAATTAAAGGTAAATAATCCGAAGGGGTATATTCCACCCCCGCACGTCGGGTTATTATTCCGTTGGTATCGTATTATTTCCAAAAGATATATTCAATTTTGGTTTTAATGGTTAGCTGGTCAAAGGACAGCTGCACGGGCTAGTATTATTCAATTCATTGCTTTTCAATTATTCAATTTTGATTAGTTGGATGCATTTCAATATGCATTACAATAATAATCGACTATAATGCAGTTATTAATTATAGTTTTGAAAATCATACTTCATTATAGAACTACGAAATCATAGGTTCATACAATTGAGATGTAGAGTATAATCCACCCTATAATTACCAAAACAATATTTATAAAGATCCCACTGCAAGATCACTACGTTCATAACGTAGTAAATCAAACTCACATACATTTAAAATTATAAACTTTACTAAAATATTACAAACTTTATATACATTTAAAATTATGAGAATACATTGATATACATACAACTAATTGAATACAACCTATTGTCAGTCAAAAAGTAGCCGCTTATATGTTTAATTCAATTAATAGTTAATAATGTTAAATATTTCGTTCATTTATTTTTTAAATAAAATATTCTGCTTATGACGTATATGCATGTGTTGTATATCAAATTAAAGCTTATTTTTTTCTTCATATGATGATATCAGATTGCCTGAGAAAAAATGGTTGCAAATTAGGGATAGGTGGGGGTTACAAGTTGACGAATAGATGACAAAGGACTCGTGTTTTTACCTTGCGTTTTTTTAAACAATACTTTATGTCACAATTTGATTTTTTGTCTACAAGTTTTTTCCCTTATATTTTACATAAACAATATTTATATCATTTTTTATATCAAGGATATCTGTATTTTCCGGTTTTTTAAATTAACATTGATAAATAATTTAAGGAGATATTTGCAAAAAAGCAGTTTTTATAAATTTTATTATTTTTTTTATTAACAAAATAAAATGTTATTAATACATTGGAACATCGAGGAATTACCATCTTGCACATTTGTGCGAAATTTCCCCCGATCGGTCAAATAGTTTAAAAGTTATTTAATTTATGTATCCCTTAGGCTAAATATTTAAAGTAATGAACTTGCTCTCTTAATGATGCTAGATACATTTTAAAAATTTCATAGGATTCTTTAAGATTTAAACTATCTCAGAAGTTAAATGCATATTGCGTTTTCATCGAAATTTTTTACAAAATAAACGTTTGAAAAAAGGGTATATTTTTTACTTATAAAACAATTGTAATAACTTCTATACTTTTCAACCTACAGACTTGTACGTACAACCATTGGATAGCTGGCAAAAAAATTCACATTTAAAAAGAAAAAAAACCTTCTATGACCAATCGGAACGAAGTTAGGGACTACTTTAAAAAAATTATATCTCCATTGTTTATAAATATTAAGAAGTTAAATTTGCACAAATTTTAAATAAAAATTTAAACTTTATATTGAAACTTATAGCTATAAAATTTATCCAACTTTTTCGAAACGAAGGTACTTTCGAAACGAAGAAGATTGACATCGGAAAGTGGAGGCGATAACTCAAATTGAAAGACGTAAGAAAAATTTACATTATCTCGACTTCCATTGAAGCTATATAGTTTTCACTGACCGAGAAATATGGGAAACCTCGGAAAAACTGAGCTCATTTAAAATTCACTGTCTCAGTATTAATAATGATGACATAATTTTCACCCCCTGGAAATCTCGGAAAATCCCGGAAAATCAACATATATTTTTTTCATTTTATATCAATGATGTAATAATACTTATATATTTTATAAATTAAATTTCAGGTAATTTTTTACACATTATATTTTTATATTCCTTATATTAATTATAATTATTTACTAC